CACATATAATATTAACCGAAGTCAACTTCCTATAAACACAAGACTTTAGTACTCATGAATAATGAATCATTTCTTGATTTAGAGTAAAATTACAATGTCACCATACCAAAATAGGTAATATTTTGATAGGTTGTAAACTCATAGGCCATGTCATTTCATCTCTCATCATACTGCCACAATTTTGTTCTTGATAGAATGTTTCCGTAAGTTTAATAAGGAGTGTTTATAATTTATAAATTATCTTTACTCTAAATTTTTAAGTGGTGGAAGACTTTTTTTTTTTTTTATATATCAATACAAATTTTCAAAACTAAAAAGAAAAGTATCTAAAAGCACTCTTTCTAATACTAATTTTGAATCTCAAATTCGTTGTTATTATTAGTATTATTATATATAAATTATTATCTGTTTTGAAATTCGTTAAATCATTATTATTTTATTTATAAAAATGTGTTTCAATGAGTTAAAGAAAAATAACGTTGATAAATTATTTTTGATCTTGACTTATAGTAATATATAAATCATAAATGGCATCATTATAGTAAAATAATTACTAGTAATAAAAATGTTGGCAAACTTAATTAATTAGCTATCCCTCACACTCATAGGCCCATATCACCTCCACGAGACGAGTATTAATGGAGATGATGATAGCTTTCTAGAATATTATGTGAGGAACAATGATTTTGTCTAGAGTGAGAAAATTAAACTTGGGCAAGGAAACAAAGTGAAGAAAATATATATATCCTCGCGCGGCTCATGACGGAAAAAGAATGGCGAACTTGTCCTTCAAAACTCTAATTGCGTACGAAATGCTGGCTATTTGTCTAATGAGAACGCTAATGATGTTGGTTGTTATGACTGTTTTATTGCAAAAGCAAGTAGTGTGATCATTGTTTACCTTTAATTTCAATAGTCATTAGATGAATAAGCACCCTTTTAAGATCAGAAAGAAGGGACAAGGGTGTTTGATATGATTTTGCAAGCTATGTAAAAGGCATCACTTTTCATGATGCTCCTGTCTGTACTGTCTTTGTTCATTCTCTTCTCTTTATATCTTTCCCTTTGCTTTAGTAGTGCTTGTCTGCTTCAGGTCCCTTAGGTCCTATCCTATCTAGCTATTTCCTTAACCAAATCTATTCACAAGTCCTCACCAAGAAACTACACACGCTAAAATACCACTTGTACGTACACATGTCACACATTTCATCTATATACTTCTAATTTTATTTTAAGCTTTTCTTTATCTTTTGAACTTTTATGTGATTAAGATACCAATTAATCATAACCACTTTAAAGTTATCGGCGGTTATCTTTGTTTAATTTTTGTTTCGGTACAGAGGATTCCTCAAGAAAATTCTAACAGTTGTCCATATTCAAAGAGTAACCAATCACCTCTTAATCCTAGGAAAAATTTACATACTTTTGTTTAAGTGTATTATAATATCGGATTATCCGAAGATATATATATTTTTCAAAAATCCTAGTATTATTAGATCTCACCCTAATTGTTATAAATGTTTATAATTATCAATGTTAAATCATTGAGCATTTGTCTAAGCTAAGTCAATAAGTAACTAATACAATGATCTAGATATGTTCGATCAAAATTGTTTACTCTATTCAACTATAAATTCGAAGAGTACACATTCTCCTAGCTTCGAAAATATGAATATAAAAAAGTTCATTGACTGACTTATCTTGTCTCATTGACTTTGAGCTTGAAGGATACAATTTCAAATATGTTTTTATTTATTTATTTTATATTATAATATAAGCTTGTAGTAGATTTTTTAAAAAAAATCCTATCATTTTGTATCCCTATTTTCTTAGAAAAATTATAAGTATATATATCCACTCATGGCTTATTAATCATTTCATTTTCATCTTTATAACTCTCTTCTTTTTGCTATCATATTACTTATTATATTTCTTACTTTTTTTTTATTCTTTCTTTTTTTCCTGTATCTCTTGTTTTCTCCCTTGATTCATCTCATTTTGGAGTTTACGAATATCATGACCCGCTTTCTAATACCTCTGAAAGATTTTTGCTTAAGCAAATGGTAGCTCCGGACTAAAGGTTGTGGGTTTTTGAATTTTGATGGAAGAACACAATTATTATGGGCAAAAAACTCAAAATTTGATTATAACTTCTTGCCATTTAATTAATTTGGTTGTTAGAATAATAAATTCGACCGGCTCAGCTTACGTTTCCTAGTCCCTAGAGAATGTTGCATGTGTAGGACCAAAAGGATAAGGAAATATCTCAACAGCCAACTTATGCCGCCATGATTTTCTAACTAACACAAACTCTTCTATAATGAGGATAAATTAGTGATATAGCAGGTGTTATAGAATATGAACCCAAAGTTTGCAGAGAACTATATTCTAATCAACTCGGATTGACTAATTTCTTAAAGCTTGTAACATATACATAACAAAAAAGATGGATACACTTTTGTCAAGTTGTAATTAATATAATTCTCCCCAAAATTCTCATCGATTTAGGTATGTATTATTATTTAAGCATAATATGATTAAAATTTACCCAAGAGAAACCCAACAATTTGACTAAAAGGTTGAGAACGTACATTGTAAGGAAAGGAGTATGAAATCACATTGGCAAGAAAAGTCATATATGCGGAATTGTTGGTTAAGAGGTCCACTAAAAAGCATATTAATTTTATGATTAGTTAAAATTAACCAAACCCATACCACGCGAAATTTCACAAGTTAGGGGTCCCGAAAGAATCATCACTTGAGAAACACTTCAAACAATAATCATGGGTTTCTAAAAGCCACTTTCCATTAACCTTCCCAAATAATGTTTGGGCAGTTTAAACATCTTGGTACCTCGCATTAAAAGGGTTCATGTGGCTTCAAGAAATGATGCATGTGTGCATTGGTTGGTCCCATTAATATATGAATAAGTTGGATAATTGAGAAGGCACGGTTGGGTTTGAGAGAACGAGTTCCAACGCTTGCTACGTACAGCTGTTACATCTTTGGAAGACCAAGTCACCATGACATGCTAGGTATTATTAGAGAGTCAAGAAAAGTGAAAGAGAAAAGAAAAGGCACACTTGATGGGACGTGAAACATTGAAGAACCTCTTTACTTCTAATAGTAGTAATCCTAGTGGCAGCAGCCGATGAAATTTATGGGTGATCAAGCTACATGAGCTACAATAATTTTATCTTAAGCAATAATAAGTGCCTCAACAAAGTCTAACCCAAGTATGGTATTATTCTTAATCAATCTTTGCTTTCACTGTTGGTGGCAGTTATCGATCTTCAACAACAACAAGCATTTAATAAGTCCTATATATCGAATTAGACCTTATTATCTTTATAATTACACTCGAGATTGGTTTATTTGGGAATTACGGCTACTTGAAGTGTACCATATGTTTGCAATTCCCCCTTTATCAAGAATTTAGATATTTTGACTAATTTAACAAATTTGACTTAAAAGACAAAAATTAACTCATTTGTATATCTTATTTTGGTCTTTTATAAGATTTCTAACAATTCCTTTAACCCCAAATACTGAATATCTCATACTTAGAAATTTGTACAGGACTGAATTAGTAAGTAGCCTAATAAAATCGATAATAATATATCGTTATTCACTAGTATAAAAAGGGTAATTTACATCAATTATTTTAAAATTTTTTACATCAGAAAAACGTTCAATGTAAATACGGGAGACGTAAATTTACGTCGGCTGTGATAGCCGACATAAATTTACATCAGACATTCACAAGAGCCAACGTAAAAAAGTTGGAAACAAAAAAAAAACATAACGCGTGCAAGCAGAACGAGCCGTTCTCCAAGCAGAATGGGCGTTCTGATTGGAGAACGTCGCGTTCTGCTTTAAGAACGGGCCGTTCTGCTTGCAGATCCACCCAAAAGAGAAGCATTTTCTACCTGGTATTAACTAATATATTAACAGACGATGATCCACTCAAACGCGAAGAAAATGATAATATTAACTAATATATTAATAGATCAATACATATATTTATTTTCAACATATTAGCTAATATATTAAGAAAGGATTTTCCAAACTAACCTCAAATACGAGCCCAATGCAATCGGTCAAAAACTCAAGAACCACCCAAACGCGCAAATATACACTCAGATGCAATACACTCAAACGAAATCTTAACTCAGAAAACTCGAATGGCACATATACACTCAAAGCTCTCTTGTTTAAATATTGACGTGCAACGCAAATACAATTTAAAATTTGTAGATATTTTACGTCGGACCTCGTAGGGGTCGACGTAAAAAAGCAAATCTACGTCGAATATAACTTATATCCGACATAGATTTGCTTTTTTACGTCGGCCCCTATGAGATCCGACGTAAAAAAGTTGGACTTAATTACAAAAATGTCACCACATTTTTTTAACGTCAGATTTTTCTTTGTCTGAAGAGAATACAGTGACGTAAATTACCCCTTTTCCCTCTAGTGTTCCTCACTATTTTTTGATTTAATCATTAATTAACGTGTAATTTTCAACACCCTTAGACTACCCTTTCCATGTTGCTAATTGTAACAATTAAGTCTCCTAAAATTAAACTTCATAAAAATGTTACTAACATACTATTTTGAATGCCTCTCATCTGTTGAATGAAATATTTACTAAAAAGTAACAAAAACTTGGTGAGCCTCTTCTTGTTTAATGTCTCTCACTGAAAGCCTTGTTGCCTACATGATATTCTGGTGCAACTAAGTATATAATACAAAGCAATCAAAGCAACTAGCTGACCCACGTTAACAGAATTTCAGATAAAAGTAGTCATCAAAAGTGTCAAGGCTGGCTAGCTATACCAGATTCGCCATGTTTAAAAGTATGCTTCTATTACTTTTGGGACCATCTACCTCTATTTCAATGAGAAGCAATCCAATTTGAGAATATATGACTACAGTGTAGTAATAACAATATAATGATCAAGAATTAAAATAAATTCATACCTCATAAGAAAGAAGGATCAAGAGAAAAGAAAAAAATAAACATTGCTGAAGTAGCACAAACTTGCTAAAACAAACATAGGGATCTGCATGATCCTTCTAAGTACGTCCACATTGGCCACTACATAGGATTCCAAAAGGCATAAAAAAATTCACAACTAGCACATGAGAAAACTAGGATTACAAAGCCTAGCAAACAGAATTCGAGTTAAACAAGGTACAAAAAAAGCTGACTAAACAACCTGTGAAAACTAAAGTACACAATCATCATTCTCAGCATGAGAAATGCTACCAAAAAGAAGCTACACCAACACATTTTTGAACAATCTGTTATTTCCCGGTAATAGGAAATATGTCAAAAAGATTGTTCAAAAGGGTGTGTGAATAACATTCCTTTATTGAGCATAGTACCAGCATGCTTCAAGTTGATTAGAATCTCAAAACTTCGGAGGAGGTGAAGGTTTTGGGATAATATATGGATTGAGAGGGGTTCCATGCTCAATAGGTCCTGCATGTACAGAAGCCTGAAATGTACTTGGCACTGGATCAACGGAACCGTAATCATTCAGATTCACTTGACCTATATCACCCTCAATGCTGCTTTTAATATTACACCCATTTTCCTGAAATTTCATAGAAGAGAACACTTTTAAGACAATTTATTAACCCACAAGTACAAATACCATCATGATTGTCAACTTTGAAATAATACATAAATCATATCCATGGACTAAAAAATTAAGATGCAATTGAACTAAAATAAATTTTCATGCAGTGTAAAGATTTTACACCAAGTACTAATTAGAAATCATTCTAGATATTACTTTAAGTCAACAAACGTTTTATACATGTCAATATATGACTATATATGTGTGTGTGTGTTTGAATGATATTATAAAAAGTGCACTCAAATTAAATTCGTATTTATAAATTGGTTTTGATTGTGTTAACCAGCATGATTAAGGGCCAGGGCTAAAGTCCAAGGATTATAAATAAAGGATATCCATACCTTCAGTTTCCTGCTTACTGTGATCGGTGTAGCTTTATCACCATAGTTGGTAGCAATCAAATCTGGGGATTATAGATGAAGGTATCACATTGTTAACAAATAACAATCTAAACAATAAATAGAGCCAACGAAATCTACTCTCGTTAGTCAAAGACATCAAGAATCATATAGAAGAACGTGAAAAAATGCACTAGGCGGTTAGGCCAGCAATTTAATTCATGCATGCAATATTTTGGTTGAATAATATTAATACCAAAGACATTATCAAATGCGGAAGAATTTGAGAGTAACTTAATCATCATATAGACTGTGAAATATAAGCTTCTATTTATCCATAAATCGAACTTAATTTTCAGTAAATCTACTACTTTACTATCCAAGAGGCTAACACTGATGCATGATATGTGTGTTTAAAACTTAATATAATAGCATATAGCCTTTTTCTCGTAAGCAATAATTTTAAAATAGGTGCAAACTTGAAAACCAGAAAAAATGCATTTCACTGTGCTATATATGTCAAATCATAAATTACTCGTACAAGTTCAAGGACACTCGATGTGAGTAGTTGAACATTTTGCGGTTGAAAACTACCAAGTTGTTTCGAGTTTCAACTTAGTAGTGCTTGCTAAATCATACACAAAAGGAGAAAACAAACAATTTGTTCTTCTTTCAAGAGGCTGTGTGGATTAGAAACTGTACTAATTCACGAGGCTAACATTGATGCATGATGCACTTGGAAGATATAAAATACCAACTGTATCGATCATGTTTGTTTGTTCAAAACATCAAAGCATTTTTTCTCCTAACCAAAAATTTTAAAATAGCCCGCAAACTTGACAACTAGAAAAATGGATCTCACTATGTTATGTCAAATCATAAATTGCTCGTACAATTTCAAGGACACTCGATGTTTGCGGTTGAACACTACCAAGTTGTCTCTCAACTTCAAGTAGTGTTAGCTAAATCATACACAAGGAAAAAAACAAAAACTGCTATTTTTTCCCAAGAGGCTGTGGATTGGAAATTGGCATCACTAGTGCATGCATGCACCCTTATCTCTTCAAAGATGTGTAAAGTAAAAAACAAAAACAAAAATAAAATTTGATCAGGGGGAAACACGGCATTCAAAACACCCCATGTGTCTTTTAAACCGATGAGCTTGTCTTTCAAGGTGATAATAACAAAGAATTTGAGCTATATTTCCATTATAGCAAGAGATCTAATTTTCTCAATCGAAATAAAGAGTTTGGAACAAATAATAATAATAATGGAAGAAGATATGTACCGGGAAATAATGAGGCACAAGTGGGACTCAAGAAGTTAAAGAACGTCACAGTTGCCCCAACAACCAAGATCAAACCACAAACTCCAGAAACCTTCATGTTGTCAATTACAAGAAAACCTCAAGTGGACAATGTCCTTAGCTGGATTAACTACTATCACACACAACACTATACTACAAACTATAATAACCCTTGTTGAAAACACAAGACCCTTGTTCATGAAACCAAAGTCTACCTCAAAACGCGTAAAGAGGATAATAGAGTTTAAAGGGTAGATAAAAAAGTTGAGGTTCGCAAACCAAACCCACCCTTTCATAAGTGTGTTTGCATTATTTTATTATTAAACCAGTTTTGTTTAGTTGCTTTTGGTGTCAGCACAACGTGCTTGGGACTCGTGTTCCGCTACAGTCTTTAGTGCATACATTAAATACTCATCAGGCATCAGCCTCTTCATTCCCCACTGCTCTGCAACCCCCACAAAAGCAATTACATCTCAACAGTCACCGCAATGAAGGGCAATGAAACTTCCATGCTGCCCTTATCGTTTGTACTTACCACATTATTACTTGTTGAGGGATGCAATTAGAGATGTAAAAAAAAAAAATGTAATCACATATAGTTGCATATTTAATTAGTTATGGATTGAAAATTGATATCGTAAGTGAGTATTTGTATATCATATATATATATATATATA